TTATGAAGACGCTAACTCACCCACTCCCTGGGCGTGCACGGGCTGGGCGCGCGCGTCCCGCCCGGCTCTGCCTCTGAGCCGGTCCGCCCTGCACCTGGCCCCCGAGACAGCTGAATGGCCGGGTCAAGGCGGCGCCCACTCGCCCCTGACACCGGCGTCGGCCGGGCCGGCGCGGAAGGCGCCGCCCGCCGCCGCGCGCCGCGCTGCTGGCGAGCTGCGGCAGGAATGTGGGTGTGAGCTGCCGTCTGAGCTCGGCTCGGCCCGGCCCGGCCCGGCCCGGCCCGGCTCGGCTCGGCCCGGCTGGCGCCCGCTCGTGCCTGGCGCCGCCGCTGATAGTGCGGGACGGGGGAGGGCCCGCGGGCGGGACGGGTCGCGTGAGAGCGCCGCCGGCCGTGCCGCTCACGGGCTGCTCTGCCCCGCAGGTGAGCCGCTCCAGTCACCGACCTCGTGTCACGGAAGAAGAATCGGCTGAACCAGGCCCCCGCCTGGCCTCGGGCCTCAGCCGCCAGACGCACCGCACCTACGAGAACCTCGCCGACACCGTCGCGTACTCGCAGGTGAGCGTCCCGCGGACGCCGCAGGGCATAGACGAGACAGACTGCCGCCAGGGCGGGCGGCGGCCCGATGGGGACAGGACCTGCGCGGTGACCCGGTGGGCTGTCACGCCGGCATAAGCAGGGGCTGGGCTGTCGTGAGACTGCGGAGGTTCTGTCGGGAGACCACCCGAACTGGAGTGGGATCGATGGTGTTGCATCTAGGCGGTTCCGCGCAGGAGGGCAAGTGTGTGCAGAGATGGATTTACTGGCCCCCAGACAGATCCGTGGTGATTTTTCGGGAGCTGGCACACAGGTATGTGTGTGCGGATGCCATCTGTCAGTTGGGACTAATCGTGTCGTTGCATTTCCTTGTTTAGGTACGGCTGATCAGTGTTGTCAGCGTCTGGTATGCCTTTAAAACCGGTTTAAATGTAGTGTCTTGCGACAGTCCGCGTGTACTGAGATCTAACTCTGTGTGGTTACGTACCTTTCAATGGGCTTGGACGTTCTGTCCCCACCGGTTTGCCGTCGGTAACAAGTGTCAGCTGTTTGATGACGAATCGCCACTCCTATCAAGTGACTGCAGGACTACAGTAGCAATCTGCCTGTTAATGAAGGCCTCAAACGCTCGTAAGTGCGCCGTTGAAAGCTCTGCGCGATTCCCCATCACCGGGTAACGTCGGCACCTCGTCATTATAACGACCACGCGCGCTGACGACGTTAGCGGGCGCCAGTGCCGGGGGCTGCGCAGCGCCGTGGCGGGGCGCGGGGCCTCCCGGCCGGCGCCGCCTCACTGCCGCTCCAATTTGGACGGCGCGTGCCTGCCGGGCCGGGAGCCCGAACTGCGTACGCCGCGCCGCCCGACCACCGGATAGCGGCGCGCGTGTGGCGGGCCAAGGCCGGCGCCGGCGGCGCGCCCGGGGCACGTGCGCGGCCGGCACGGCGCCCGCGGCGCTCCGGCGACGTCCGGGCGCCGGCGGGGCGGCCGCGCGGCGGCGCGGTGGTGTGCGGGCCGCGAGAGCAGGCCAGACGGTGGCCTCGGCGCCGGCGCCGCGCCACGGGAGATTAGCGCGCGCGCCCGGCGAGCGCGGCCCGTGAGTCAGACGAGCGGCCGAGGCCCGCGCGCGGGAGTGAGCCGACCGGTGGCTGGCCGCGGCGGCCGCCGGAGCGCTCGCCGCCGAGCAGGCTGTCCAAGCAGCTCGGGGACGGTCGACTCCCGTGGCTGGTGCGGATGGTGCTGGTTTGGGAGGGAAAAGATACGCGCCCGCCTGGTGCTGATGCATATTCACAAGGAATGGATGGAGCGTTGCCGTAGGTTGTTCGTGTTCCGCTAGCATTCCATTCGTAGTCATGTGCTGTCAGGTTTGGTTATCTGTTAACCTTTCCATGCATATGCGATGGTTTCACTAGAGTAAAGCTGTGGCTCTTATCGGGCGCGTGAGCAATATTTTGGGGTACACGTCATCGGGCCCACCTGGGTGTTATCGGAAAAGCCGGTGGTCTTAGCCAGAATCGTGACGCTGCCCGTGAAACAGTATAGAACTATGTCGTCAGCGACAGGAAGAGCCATGAGCTTTCGCCGTCTCTTGCGCGTTGGATGCCTGAGACCTGATTCACTAGCGGGCGCGAACGATGATATCGCCGGCATGAGCTGGGTGCGCTGGGGGCTTCATTCACTGTTTGCACGTGCGTCATTCGCTGCGTCATATTCACAATGGCGTGTTTTTGCTTTGCTTGTCGGGTCTCTCAACAGTTTATTGCGTCAGTCATTCAAGAATATAGTGGTCCTGTTTGTGCAAGCATCCTGCCTTGCAACATTTCCATTGTCCAAAAAGGCTGCACGGCCATGCCCTGCCGTGCGCCGTGTCCGACTCGGCCGCCCCGGCTGCCCAGCAGCGGCTGGCGGCTGTCTCTGACCTGTCGCAGCTCGGGCGTGGCCTGTTCCTGCGGCTGAGGACCAGCGCTGTCTCCCTGTGCTGTCCGTATGGTGTGACCCTCCGCCAGGGGAAAGCTTGCGGTTCCCGGCTGTCAATGACGTGTGTCAAGTTTGGGTCGCCTGTGGTGTGTCGGGCATGGGGTGCCTAGACCAGGGTGCGGTTAGTCGTGTGCTCCAGACAGGCTCCCAGCCTTGTTTTGATTCCCGTTCAGATCAGCGTGAGAGATTGCGGTGTCGGCGTTCGCTCTGATTGGGGCTGCAGCGGCCACGTGGCGCACAGTCGGGGAAGAGCGGGTCGCGCCGTGCCGTGTCTGACAGCCTCCCCCGGTCCCCAGCAGGCGTTCAGCTCCGAGGAGCTGGACCGCGTGTACCCGGTGCAGGCGGGTCCGGCCTCCGTGTCGGCACAGTTCGTCACGCAGTCAGCGCTGGTGGCCGAGATAGCGCGCAGCCAGCCGGCCGAGCGCCGGCGCCGCCGCCGCCGCCGCCCGGAGCCGCGCCGGCGCCGACCGCGCTGCTCGCGCCGCCGGCCGTCGACCCGCAAGGACCCGGCTCGCCCAGTCACTTCCTCAGCGGCAACATTCGCGTCAGCTCGGTGGGACCCGTCGGCCCTCCACCAGCCGGCCGCCGGCGCCGACGAGCCCATCTACGAGAACGTCGACTTCATCCAGCGCGGTCGCCTGGCCGGCGGCGTCGGCGGCGCGGCGGACGCCGTGCGCGTGACGGACGCCGGTACTGTGGTCGCCGTTGGCGGCGGCGCCGACACGGCGGACGCGCCGGACGCCGGCCGGCCGCGCTGGGCGCGCGACGAGCCGCCGCCGGCGGCCATCCCCTACCCGGCGGCCGCCATGCAGGAGCTGCGGCTGGGTGTAGTGCCGCCGGCGCGCGCGCCGCCCGCTGCCACCGGCTCGGCTGCCAGTCTGGACAAGCGGCGTCGGCGGCGCTGGGGCGGCGGCGAAGCGGCCGCTGGCACGCCCGTCGCGCCGCAAGAGAAGTCCAACACGCTGCGCAAGCTAAAGGAGACGTTCACGCGCGTGCGCGAGGGCCCGCCGCGCGCCCGGACGCCGGCCGGCCCTGGGCCCGGCCCGGCGCCAGGCCCCGTGACGCCCGAGGTGGTGGTGAAGCGGGAGTCGACGGCCATCCCGCGGGAGCAGAGGGTGAGTGCGGAGAGAGGATGAGGAGCGGCGTGGCCGCCTGCTGCGGGTGTATTGTATTGATATATTGCCTGCGGATGTATGCGGAGGTCGAGTGGAGGGCGTCTGTGTGATGTGGTGTGTTGGGAGGTGGAGTGTTGAGAGGCGTTCTCGCTGGTTGCGAGCGAGAGCTGTGGACGTGCGGCAGTCGTCGGCGGAGCTGCGCTGTGGCCGCTCGCAGCGCAGGCATGGCCGCTCGGCGACTCCGCGCTTCCACCGGCCGGTTTCCACATCGCGCCGACTGCATAATGGCGACCGGCCTCGCGCCAGCCAGCTGCCCAGATGCCCCCGCTCGGTGGATCTGCTATCGCGCCGGCGTCAGCGGCTCCACGGCCGTCCCGTTATGCTCGGCCTGGCAGCGTGCCGCCCCGTCACCAGCCGGGCCCACCGGCCGGCGTTTGGGGACCCGCGCCCGGCGCCTCCGACCCCCCTTCGCTGCACGTCCGCCGCTCGGACCGTTAGGGCAGGTCGGCTGGGGTCGCCGCTAGGGCCGTTCGGCGCTGGATGCGCCGGCCGACTGGAAAATGCGGCCGCCGAAAATTGCTGGCTCCCGCTGCCGCCAGCTTATCCAGGGACATCGGGCGTCGAGCTTTCCTTCTGGCGGCCGGCCGGCTGGCCGGTCGGCAGGCTGTCGGCGGGCTGCCGGCGGCTGGCAGGACTGCAGCTGCGCACAGTGGCAGGTCGCGGCTGATTCGAGACGCGCCACAGCGGCGGGCGGCACCGCAGAATTGTCGGGAGCGGTGTGTGGGGCTGCGGAGGTGACGGGACGGGCGGGGTCCGGCGTGCGCAGCGCGCCGGCGAGCGGACCGGACCGGACCTGCCGGAGGCGCGTCCGACAGCAGCCTGCCACGGCTCCGGTGATCCATATCTGGGTGGCACGTACATTGTGCAGCGGCCTACCCGCCGGTCCGGTCGTGACCGGGCCGTCCGTGGTCCGCGGCCGCAGGCTCGGCTCCGCCCTGGCCGACGCGGCGAGCTCCGTGTCGAGACGCTGAGCCTGCTTGTATCTGGCGCTAGCCCGGGAAGGGGCTCGTGATGCGAGAATCAGGCACACTGGCCTTATGTTTTGGCATCATTTGAGGTACACCATTGTCTGATTCAGGCCGGCAACGCGCCTGCAGCCGGCGGTAAATGCATGTTAAGAATTTAGTTCAGTAAATGATGTACGCGCGACGCGGTTTTTGTGGTATTCCACGAGTCATCTGCGAGCAGCTGGTTTAAGTGAACAAACGCCACAGCCTGATTTTGTGAGCAAATTCCACACGCTGTTGTTTGGTGGCTGATTATTTTACCTTGTTGCATGCCCTTGCTGTCTGCCTTCTGTCTTGAACGCTGAGCATGTGTGACCTGACGCTGACCCGCGCCGCCTGCTGTGTCGCCGACCCCAGCGAGGCTGGGCGGCCGTGGCGCGCTGCCGCCGGCGACAGCTGACCGGCCGCCGTCCGTTGCAGTGTCAGGCGATCGAGGCGCGCATCAGCAACGCCGGCTTCTTCCGCGAGTTCGAGTCGGTGGTGAAGAAGCGCGACTCGGCCGAGTACACCACTGCGCGCCGGCCCGAGAACGAGAACAAGAACAGGTGCGTCCTCCACCCCCGTGCCTGGTCACCCCGCTGATGGTGGTGAGAATAGGAGTAGTTACATCCCCGCCGCGCCACCTTCGCTACCCGCTGGTAGTGAGGATGAGGTGACGCACGCGTCTTCTCCTCACACCGGTCGCCGTCCGTCAGCCAGCATCGCCGGGCGGTATTGAGCAGCCGCCAGCCCCTTCCCGCCCTCGTCCTCCCCACCCCAGCTGTGGTTCTGAGCACCACGGTCGCACAGTGATGATCACCTTCGACACGCCCTTGTAAGCCCGGCTGACTAGCCCCACCGACGGATGAGGCCGGAGCTGAGAGCCGACTGGTGGCGTGCGCGGTGCGTGCCACGCTGTGACCGCGAGAGCGAGGCGCTCCCCCCCCACGGACGGCTGTGAGGTGGTGTGCGTCCGCCCGCTGCCGGTGGGCGGTGGCCGACGGCACCCCTTGGTCATCGCTGTCGCCCCCGGTCCGGCGTGGCGCGGCGCGGCGCGGTCGGTACTGTACGGACCGCGGCTCTCCTGGGCGGCCGCTGCAGTTGATGCGCCGGACCGTTACGCAACACGTACAGATGGTCGCTGGCGTCTGACCTGATGGACTGCGGTGCGGGGCTGATGTCGTGCGGCCGTGTCAGGTGTCGCTCTATCCCTCGCCCGACGGCGGAGGCCTCGTGGCCTGATCGGCGTCGGCTGCCGGCCCTGACCGGCCGCGCTCGTCGGTAGGCTCGGCCGGCAGCTGCGCAGATGGGCGGGGCTGCTGTCGTTGTGCCGGACCCGCCGCGGCCATGCGCGAGACGAGGGTCCGTGTTGTCTGGCGGTTATGGCAGCCCGCGGGGAACGCTTACGTCAGAGTCCCTAGTCTGAATATTCCGTGCTCGGTGGGGGATCCGACCGCCGCCGAAAACCGCCGTTTGTGACGTCGGAGTGGCGCGGCGCAGGTCGGTCTGAGCCGGATCCGTGTCGTCCCCACCGCCGCCGCCGCCGAGACTGGTGTGTGTGTGACGGACGTGACGTGACGTAACGCTCTGTCCGGCAGGTTCAGGACGTGCTGCCGTACAAGACAACGGGTGCGAGTCACGGCCCCTCCAGAGACAAACCCCACCGGCTACATCAACGCTTCCCACATCAGCGTGAGTGTGCCGGCGGCCCACGGCGACCGTGGGCTGCAGTGGTGGTCGCTCGTGTTTGTGCGGTGTGTTAAAGGCCGCCTTTGCAAAAGATGCCATGTGGACCGCAATGTCTTCACCAAGCCCCGAATGGAACCAAAACAACCGGAAGGTTCAGTTTGTATATAAGGGAGGAGACAAAAATAACGTTTGTCGAAAAACAAATGTGCTGAAGAAGTTATTCAAGTCCAAACTGAGGGGTCAAGAAACGATTCGTAAAGGTTGTTTTTGCTACTAGAGCTTTGAATCTTGATTGTTTGGGGTAAATGTTTGCGGCCCCTTCAGTTGAGGGTGGTGTCCTGATCAATGTGCACGGAGGCCGATCCAGCAAACGACCACCGTGCCATTCAAACGTCTAAAATTATCCGCCCACCAAACTGGGCGCGTACGCTGATCTCTGTAGTGATCACAGGAATGTTCACGCAGGTCGCAATTGCCGCGCTCAGTTCGGCAAACATTTCCATTGTATCGTTGGGGCGCGCGCCAGCCTGCAATCTGTAGCCTTGCAGTCGGCCTGTGACGGTGGTGGGGACTGCTGCGCTGCTAACCCAACCCCACCCTGACCTCTGACCTCCGCCCCTCCCGCAGGTGACCATGGGCAGCCAGCAGCGGTTCTACATCGCGGCGCAGGGCCCGCTGCCGACGACCGTGCTGCACTTCTGGCAGGCCGTCTGGGAGAATAACGTGCACCTGGTGGTCATGCTGACGGACGCCACGCGTGGCCCTGGACAAGGCGTTCCCGTACTGGCCGCAGCAGGACGACACGAGCGTCGAGTGCGGCGACTCACCGTGGCGCGCAAGATGTCGACGCCGTCGCGCGCCTACGTCACCTCGCGCCTGCTGCTGACGGAGCGCGGCTCGCGCAAGTCGCGCGTCGTCTGGCACCTGCAGTTCACCGACTGGGCCGACCAACGGCCTGCCCGGAGGACGCGGCCGGCTTCGTGCAGTTTGTGGACGAGCTGGCGACGCTGCGGCAGACGGCCGCCAGCGAGATGGCCGTGGCGCACGGCGGCAGTCGCAACACGCCTGTGCTGGTGCACTGCTCGGCGGGCGTCGGTCGCACCGGCGTCACCGTCATGTGCGACGTGCTGCTGCACTGCCTCGACCACAACCTGGAGGTGGACGTGCCGAAGCTGCTGCACCACCTGCGGCAGCAGCGCATGCTCATGGTGCAGACGATGACGCAGTACAAGTTCATCTACCAGGTGCTGGTGCACTACCTGAAGCGGTCGCGGCTGATTTAGCAGCGGCCGGCGTCTGTCGCCAGCGCATTCCGTCCCCCGACTGTGATTTGGAGAGAGTGGGAGAGAGTGAGTGCGCGCCGCGTCCTCTTGTTCGCCGATCAGCGCCCGTGCCATGTACGCTGCATCATCATGTTCATCGCCCATAACGACGTTATCGCAAATATACGCTATATCATTGTTATGTGACTGATACAGGTCCGGTCTGTGTGGACGGGCGGAATGAGGCATTGTCTTGGCAGGCCTGGGGCGCGCTGGGGATGTTGGTCTACAGTCGTCAAAAAAGCCCGGCAAAGGCTGCACAAATGATTACGGGCTTGCAAGGATGCTGTCAGGAATGCACGCGTCATCTCAGTTCAGGCAGCTGAGCTGAGTCAGTGTTGTTCGGCCAAACGTTTTAGTTGCGCTTGTCTTTCTGCCAGTATCTATGTTAACGTGATCGAAATACGCCAGCGGGTTAAGTTCGCGATTTTAGCACTAGACCTGCATAACATCAGTCTGCTTTCATATCGTCAGAGACGGCAGCCAACAGAACAAAAGATCACTGCTGATGGTGACGAGTTCCAACTCCTTAAAAACGCATGACATTGTTTTCCTGCGGGCTCCTGCCTGCTTGCAGAGATTCGCGGGCGGATATTGCAGGTAAAAACAAATCGGCGGGTTCATCTCATTGGCAACGCGGCGTCAGGCGACGGCTTGGCTTAGTCATCGCGAAGCTGAATCGTACGGACGGTGCCCCGTCAGCCGGCCGTTGGCTCTCGGTGACGAGGCAGGAGGAAGCTGCGGTCAGTAGAAGCACGCCTCTAATTTAGAGCTGCGTGCGTACCGTTCCAAGTTAATGGGAACGGGAACATCACAGTGGCTGCGGACCGCGCCACCGGAAGCGGACCAGTAGCATTGACATGTATTTCCGGCGGTACGCGGTATCTCAGGAAAACGTCACACGTCCGTGAACGCTAGTCATATGCCACCGACACAAGGCCTTCACACCTTCCAGCTACGGACCAAGCAGATCACGCCAGACGATTACCAATGTGTGCATAAAGAAGTATCACATGTGTACGTTTAAAACACGGAGGCTGGGCGGCAGTGACCGCAACGATACAGTGCCACCTTGCCAGCGACCCGAGCGTGCCATGCCGTAATTCCAGCGGAGCCAGTTTCCGCCGCCGCGGGGACCCGTCGCACAGACACTCACATCGACGGATCCCTGGTTTGCCCCCGCCTGATTTATTACAGCCGGGATCAGGCGGCCACGAGCGCCTCCGTCCGTGCATCAGCGGCGGGGACGAGTACATTACGTAAGCCCGGAACTGGCGAATGCGGCACGACAGCCCGGCGCAGAGGTCGCTACGGAGATCGATATGCACAAAAAGCTCGAGAGCTGGTGATTGATGGCCGAAACACGGCCAGCCGGCTGACGGGAAACGGTACCGCCCTGCCGACGTCGGCGTGCCGCCGCCCGCTGAACCCCACTGGAGCGGACCGCCGCCAGCGGCCTCAGTACAGGGGAGCGGCCCAGGGCGCCCGCGCGGAGATCTATAGAACACCGGCCGGTAACTGCACGCATGATCCTTCGCAGGGGACTGTTCCGTCCAACTGAACCTCAGACGACACCAGTGGGTAACCACGGTAACACGACTGCCACTGCGGCCGCTCCGGACGGCGGTGAAGCAGCCGGATCGTTACGGAGGGGGGTGGGCAGATAATGGATGGGTCGGAAAGCGTTTTAAGTCTGCCATACAACATCGTAAGCCCGGCATTTCATTAACAGCATTTAAAGCTGATACACGGTGTTCCTCCCCTCCTCACCCGTCCCGGTGGCGCCGCCCTTGCCTCCGATAAAATTATATAAATTCCGCCTATCCGTGCACAGGCATTGCGTTCCTAGATCTGGTCATACCACCAGTGATGGCGCCCCCGCGTGGCCCAGCCCTCCCCGGCACCGCCTGGTGCGTCCGGTCAGCCGATCAGTCAGCTGACGCGTCGCAGATGGCGGCGGGTCGGTCCGCGTCCCTGTCCAGTAGCGAGACTCCCGCCTCCAGCACCGAGCCGTCCTCCTCCAGCATGGCGCCGCCGCCCTCCAGCACCAGGGCCACGCGCTCGCCGGCCGCCTCGGCCTGCTCGATGATGAGGCCGACCTGGCGCGGGCTGACGGCCGGCGTCCCCAGCTGCTCGGCATCCTGCTCGATCACCAGGTCCAGCCGCGGCTCGCCATCCGCGTCGCCCCGGTCGTCGATGATTAGGTCCAGCTGCTGGCCGTCCGGCGTGATGTACTGCACCTCGCTCGTCAGGAACGACACGTCCGGCCCCCCGCCGTCCTCCGTCTGCGGACAGAGGAGGGGGGGGGGGGGGGTAAGTGATGTACTGCAACCCGCCGTCTGCGGGCTGACAGGTGGTGTCAGTGATCTGTTGCACCTCGCCCGCCAGGAACGACACCGCAAGCCCCTCGCGTTCCCGAAGACTCTTCCGCAGTCGGTATGATCCGCTCTGTGGGAGGAGCATGCGGTGGTCCGCCGGAGCTGGTGGGCAGCAGAGGCGCCATCCGGCCCAGCGCGACGCGTGCCGGCAGGCCGGACCTCCCGCGTCGGCCTCACCTGGTGCCCGTCGGTGGTGACGAACCGGCCGTCCCCGATGAGCATCTCCTGCTGCGTGTCGCCCCTCACCAGCATCACCACCTACGGACGGAGGGGCACGGTTGTCAGACACGCCGCCCACACACGGACGCGGAGTGGCCCGCGCGCGTCCCCAAACTGTCACCAGTGGTCCCCGGCGCTCCCGGCTGAACGGTCTCGATAACTGACGCTTGTTGCAACGATGTTTTTTACGTTTGCTACACAAGCATCACTCATTAACGTTCGTAGGACACGCATATTAATGCTTCCTTATCGTATTGTATTGGAAATCGTCACCCGTTAAAAATGTCGTCCGTGACGACCAGTATGGCAATGACCCACCCATTTCTTTTGAACGCAAGTCGCCTGGCAGCCTGTGTGCATCACGTGACACCGGCGCGGCGCGGCGCACTCACGTGTCCGTCCTTGGAGTCGACCAGCTCGAAGGTGTGCACCACCTCGTCGGGCTGCGCCGGCTCCGTCGTCACCAGCGTGCGGTTGATGACATAATCGTCCGGATGTTCGCCGTGGTTCATCTGCTCCATGTGCTGCACCAGAGACATCTGTCGGCGAGTGCATGGGTTACGCGGCGGGTGGACACTGGGGGAGAAAGCGGCGCCAGACGGGAGGGTAAACTGAAGCTCAATCTGGCATTGGCATGCCCGCGAGGCGAGGACTGTAGTGCATGTGGCAGACCGGTGGCCATCATCCCAGTCCGAGCACGCGGAGCGGGGCCTGGTGTGACGCACACTCCGTGCCGAGCACTGGCGCTGTCCCCACTCTCGCCCTCCGAGGACAGAAGCGTCCGCTCCAAACACCGCACACGTGAGCACAGGCAGGCGGCTGGAGGAGGCCGCCGGGCCCCGAGGTACGCCGACTGCCAGCTCTGACTTCGGCCCGGCCTCGCCTCCCGACTCCGACCCCCGCCACCCACCTTCCGCATGAAGCCGAGGCCGCACTGGCGGCACTCGAACGGCTTCTTGTTGCTGTGCGTGAACATGTGCGCCTTGAGGTTGTCGCCGCGGCTGAAGTGCTTGCTGCACACGTCGCAGCGGTACGGCTTCTCGCCGGAGTGCGTGCGCAGGTGCTGCTTCAGGTGCTCCGGGTACACCATCTGCAGGGGGCAGTGCGGACAGCGCAGCGGCCGGTGGCCCTCGTGCACCATCTCGTGGTAGGTGAGCAGGCGGCGCCGTTTGAACCTCTTGCCGCACACGCGGCACTCGTAGCGTCTGTCGTTCTGGTGCACGTAGCGCACGTGCATGATGAGGTTGGAGCGCAGCGCGAAGCGCGCCGCGCACAGCTCGCACGCGAACGGCCGCTCGCCCGAGTGCGAGCGCACGTGGTCGCGCAGCGAGTACTTGGTCTTGAGCTCCTTGTGGCAGATGGAGCAGCGCCAGGGCCGCTCGCCCATGTGCTGCAGCAGGTGGTGCGCGAGCCGCTTCTCGGTGTCGAAGAGGCGGCCGCAGTCGGGCTGCGGGCACGGCAGGCGCGGCTCGCCGTGGCCCAGCTGGTGGCGCTGCAGCGCCGCGCGGCTCGCCTGCTGCTGGCCGCACACCGAGCACGCCAGCCCCGGCGGACGCGGCGCGTGCGAGCGCACGTGCGCCCGGTAGCGCGGCCCGCTGGTGAACGTCCGGTCGCACGTGGCGCACGAGAAGTGCGCGTCGCCCGTGTGCTCGTGCATGTGCTCGAGCAGCGGCGCCTGCGAGCGGAACTTGAGCTCGCACTGCTGACACTGGTAGGTGGTGGTCACCTGGCGGCAAGGGGTGGGAAGCACGACCGGTCAGACGCGGCCGCTCATCCACAGAGGCAGGCCACTGACGGCTGGAGCCGGTCCAAGCGACAGAGGTGGGTCCCTGACGGCTTGGAGCCGGTCCAAACAACAGAGGTGGGCCTCTGACGGCTGGAGCCGGTCCAAGCGACAGAGGTGGGTCCCTGACGGCTTGGAGCCGGTCCAAACAACAGAGGTGGGCCTCTGACGGCTGGAGCCGGTCCAAGCAAGAGAGGTGGGCCACTGACGGCTGGAGCCGGTCCAAGCAACTTACGCTCAATAGTTTATCTGGCGGCCATCAACAGTGGCATCGAACGCTTAATGGTTGACAAAGAGTGCATTGTTTATATTCTGAGGCCTACTTCTACAAAACTGGAGCAGGAGGAACATCACCAGGAGACAACATGGCGTAAAAGCAAACTTGACGCACGTCCCGGGAAAATAAATTTAAGTCGAAACAATCGAGGTCTAATCATCAATGCACCCTAGTACACACACACGTGCACTAAAATATATTAACAGACTTTTACACCAATTTTTTGGCAACCTCCAGTGAGTGACCGATACCTTATGGAACTTCTGATGTTTGCGTACGAGTTTCGGCAGAGTGAAGGACTTATTGCACATCGGGCAGGGGTACTTGGCCTCCTTGTGCTCCTTCTCGTGCTTGAGCAGGTCCCGGAGCATGGCATACGTGTCACCGCACACCTGAGGACGGCGCCCGCGGTCAGTACCATGCACGGAACTTGAACTGTATCCTTCAGCGGAAAACATCGGAGACGCGCGACACTGCTCCAAGCGCAGCACAACAGAGAACATCCCAGTGTAAGGTCAGCCAGACGCGACGCCGGAGAGCTGCAGAAGCCCCGTTCCCAGTGAGGCGCGTCGGTCGCTGTCCCCGGCCGCACATGTCGTCAGCAGGCTGCCACCGCCAGCTCGTCGACACGCCGGACCGCTCCTGGCCCGGCCGCCAGGCCCGCCGTTCCCGGGACACCGTCGGCAGCAGCCAAGCGTCGGCTTCGGCCTGAGACAGCCTCGCCCTGGTAGCGCTCGGCTTACCCGAGCTCGGAGCATACGTCCTGATGTTGACTGTCCAAGATAATCGATCACATGTATGTACTAGCACGCACGTGTCCTGCTGGTACGAACGTGCTGGTGGAACAGGGATTATATCTCCAACGTAGGTGGCCGCTGATCTTATACTATGAGAGCACTCCACACGTATGATGGCATGAATTCCCCTTGTCAACTTTGTTGTGTTTCGTGTTCCCCTCGCCCTTGTCGGCTACTGTTCTAGTCCAATATGCTTTCCTGATGCCTCCAGGCCCCCGGGCTGGCAGTGCTCTTTCATGAATTCGCATAGCTCACTACGCGTATTGAGGTGCTGTCCTTGTTACACAATCATTAGCGATCAAGTATACTGCATCACCAGTGGATGAATGTGACGCAAATATCTTTACGTAACAGGCCAAATCACAAGACAATTTAAAACTCCATTCCCGTGTTTGATCTGGCTGTTACTAGATTTCGCATCGTCTGCCGTTAACAAGCACGTTTGCTGTAACTCGTCCGCATATGTACGCATGCCGTGTGCCATCCGCCGGTCAGACGAAATCAGCCGCTCCCATTGGTCCTCTGCATCGGCGTGAGTGCGCCAGCATCACGTAACTTCGTTCCATACCATGCACCAAAACAATGCTGCCCACCACAGCTAACGGCCGCGTTTTCTGCCATCGAATCAGCAGCAAGACGCGCCGGACGCGCTGGTGTAGACAAGGCGTCGCCCAGCCGACAGGCCGGGGCTGTGGCCGCCGAAGGCCGACGCTTCGGCCGCCGTAGCGGACGTGGACAGCATCCTGACCGCCACCAAGCCGGCGAGACCGCCAAACTCACCTCGCAGATGTAGACGCCGTTGATGCGCCGGCTGCGGCCCGAGGCAGACCACTCCTCCGGCTGGGGTAGGCCGGTGGCGGCCCGCTCCTCAGGCTGGGGCACGCCCGCGGCGACCCGCTCCTCGGGCTGGGGCAGGCCGGTGGCGCCTCGCTCCGCCGTTGGACGCTTCTCCGTCGGCTGCTGCTCCTTCTGGGGGTCACGCCAACGATGAGATGCAGTTCAACAAAAACAAATTAAGATTCAGACTGCTTGTCACATTACGAGAAGCCATGCCGTAATCAAACAGGAGACACTAGATTGGTTTAAGTAAAACTCGTGAAAAGGGTAGACATTGAACACTTTAGTAGCTGTCGTATACTAATCGTACGTGCTACCACCATGATTGAAGAGTCATACACCCATGGAAGTCTGGGATATTCAGGACCTCTAGATTGTCTTCGCAGGGGTTGCCTCAACCCCATGGGTTAAGGCCGGCTAAATGTACGCGACTGCTTTGGGACCATCATTGGCTGGGCGCGCCTGTCCAAAATCGCGCCTCTATTTCGGATGTCTCTAAACATTCAGTGGCAGTACCGCTCGCCCGTCCGGCGGCGCCAGAATCCGCAACCCCTAAAGACCTGAGGTTCCTGAGACGGCCAAAGGAGCCCGGGAAAGCCAAACGGTCTTCGAAACAGCTCCACGCTCAGGATAGTGCAGGGCAGGGCCAACAAAGCAGCGGAGGACAGAGTCAACACCGGCATTCAACAGGACAGACCCCCATCGATGGAGGCGGTCTGCTGTTCGGTGCTGCCGCCGCTGCCCCGACGCGGGCAGCACCGCTGGACGTCCGGCGCGGCCTCACCTCAGCTAGGCGGCTGTGTACCCTGCGCATGGCCTCTGCCAGCCGGCGGCGGTGCGTGCTCTCGCCGCTGTCCGAGGCCAGTCCGTTCCGGTGTGGCCCGCGCGCCGCCGCCTGCCCCGACTCTGCCGGCTGGGGGCCGGACAGGGCGCTCAGCACCGGCATCGCGGACTCAGACAGCACGGCCTGTCGGGGATGCGTCAGCCCTGTCCGGGATGACGTCAGCCCAGAGACTGGCGGCGTCTGACTTTCTTGTCTGACAGGTGTGCCAGTCGGAGCAGTGTGAAGCGCCCGTCACAGAATGTTTAACGCCCGTCACGTCGTGAGCGAGCAAGAAGTCCACGGTAAAGGCCAGCGTGAGCAAACCTTCCAGTCAAAAACATGATGTCAAAAGCCTCTATGGCTTGCAAGTGTACCTTACGCTCCCAGAATATGGTTGGAAATGGCGCATCACACCGCCCCAAAGTCGGTTCCGCATGTCGTCAAGTTCGCCACCAGCCAACCCGCCACACTCAAGCCTACAGTCCGACGCCCCCTACCCGCAGCGCTGTGCTCTGATCACCTGGGCTTGCCCGTCGGAGTCCGGCGCCGGCTCCGGTGCAGTCCCGCCGCCGTCAGGCCTGGTCACCAGCGGCGCGCCCGGCGCCGCCGGCCGGGATGACGCCGTGCTCGCCGTCACGTACCGCAGCTGGAGCGGAGCGGGGCCGTCATCACACGAGCTCTTCCGGAGCGGGACCGTCATCACACGAGCTCTCCCAGAGCGGGGCCGTCATCACACGAGCTCTCCAGGAGTGGAGCGGGGCCGTCATCACACGAGCTCTCCCGGAGCGGGGCGGATGTCATCACACGAGCTCTCCCAGAGCGGGGCGGACGTCATCACACGAGCCCTCCCAGAGCAGGGCGGACGTCATCACACGAGCTCTCCCGGAGCGGGGCGGCCGCCATCACACGAGCTCTCCCGGAGCGGGGCGGATGTCATCACACGAGCTCTCCCAGAGCGGGGCGGATGTCATCATACGAGCTCTCCCAGAGCAGGGCGGCCGTCATCACAGAGCTCTCCCGGAGCGGGGCGGACGTCGTCACACGAGCCCTCCCAGAGCGGGACGGACGTCATCACATGAGCTCTCCCGGAACGGGGCGGATGTCATCACACGAGCCCTCACGGAGCGGGGCGGCCGTCATCATACGAGTCCTTGCAAAACAGGGCGGGCGTCATCACACATGTCGGAACGTACGGTGCTTGCCGCTGGGGAAACAGACACCACCCGCTCAAGATCAGCATGCTTCATTTGGTCGCCACAACTTCCTGATTAAGAAGCCGCGAGCAAGTTTACGAACACAGTGCGCATCTCATGGCATTCAACAGGACCAACCACAGATCACTCAGAGCCAAGGTGACGCGTCATCAGGAAGGATGCGGTCAGGCCCATCCAACGTAACTGTAGGTGCAGAGGTCCGCTCGTGGTAAAACATAAAACCTCCGTGTAACGCGTGCACTGATCAGCCAGACCACACGGCTTTTCTGCTCGCACGGTCTTCCACCTCCTGCACACGGAGTAAGCAGTCAATCGCAGCCCCCTCCCCCTCCCCGCTCACACTGAGCGTAACAACTGGCCCCGCCCGGGTTCTCACCCGTCTGTGCAGAGTGCTGTGGCGACGCACCACGGTCTGGTCCGTCTTTCGGGGGCGGCCGCGGCCTCGTTTGGCCGGCGGCGGCTCGGCAGCGGCCGGCGGCGACTCGGCGTCGGTGGCCGGTCGGGTCCGCTTGCGGTAGGGCCGCACGCGCGGCACCAGCCGGTCGGCAGGGCCCAGGCGGACCACCTGACGGCACCGGCGGACGCGGCGTCAGCCGGGCAGCCCCGGACGGCGGAGGGGGGAAGGTGAGGAGCCAGGGATATACGATAGGGTCAGGCGGGGAGCAGGGGATACACCCCAGAGAGAGAGAGACAATGACGGGTCAGACGGGGAGCAGTGGACACACGTCAGAGTGAGATGACAGGCCAGACAGGGGGGGGGGGGACACACACACACAGAGACACACATAAGCGTGAGACAGTGTCCGGAGCCAGAGCGCCCTGACTGACCTCCACCACTTCTGCCGCTGGGCGGCGCTGGGGTCGGGCGGCGGCGGCGGCGGCGGTGGCGGTGGTAGCGCGGTGGCCAGAGTCACCCGGGCCGCGCGCCTCCAGCTGCACGTAGATGGTGCGCACGGGGCCTGGCGGCGAGCGGCCGCTGCTGGCCGGCGGCGAGTCCGGCTCGCTGTACACCGCCTGGTCAGGGCGAGACAGCAGTCACGTGCCACGTCATTAAGTGCCGAAACTGGAAGGTTAAGTCGCCACTGAAAGCCAGGTGGGAGTTCACTACGCCGTGTGACCAGATATAAACGGGGCACACGAATAGGTACCTTTTGGTAAGGTTTCAACTCCGAACACTTCAATCATAAGGATCAGCATGAAGTTACTTGAGTTAGTTATAAGAGTTAGTTACAAGAGTTACAAGAGTTACTTGAATAGAAGCATGGCATAAACGATTTCGTAATCGCCAAAAATCCATTTCCGCAGCGCGCGTTTTTCAAACACATTTATCACAGTCTGAGTCAAACAGGAAAAATCTAGAAAATGAATGGCCCACACACGCACGGAATGCATGCCTCACCTCTGCCATCAGCTGATTAACGTCAAAATCCTCATCGCTGTTCCCTCCGGACGCGTCATCCAGGAGAGGGTCGTCAGCGCCTGACGAGTCGATGGGATCGTCATCTGCCAGGGCCGAGCACGAGCGCAGACCGTTCGCCCCCGCCGGTGAGCCGCCGCACGCCCCGTCCACACCGCGCGGCTCTAGCGCGTCCCGGGCGACCGAGCTGGCCCGGTCCGACTGCGTGGAGGGCGACTGCTGGGCGGCGCGCTCCAGCGTGCCGGCCCCGCCCGGCCCATCCAGCGGCTCCAGGCGCGGGCAGGGATCGGCCAGCGGGTCAGTGTCGCCGCAGGAGTCCAGGGCCTCCGCGGCACCGCCGGCTGAGCCCAGGGCGCCGGAGTCTCCGCCGGGCGAGGCCGCCGGGTCGAGGTCACCGCCGGGGCCGAGCGCGCGCAGCACGTCGCCGGAGGCGGCCAGCGAGTGCAGCAGGTCGTCCCCTTCGACAGGCTCGTCCGGAGGCTCCGCGGCGCCCTCTGCGGAGGTCGGACGCGGATCTGCCAGCGGAGGACGCCGCCGTCAGCGCAGACTACCTGGTGACGAATGACGCCCGCCCCCGCTGCTAGTCAGGACGCTCCTGTTAGCAGGCTGCTAGCCACCACAACACTCCAGCCTGGGGTGGCGTCCGGAGTGGCGATGCGACATACCCCGACGCTTACGTTGTCAGCATCAGTTCAGCGTCCGTATTCCGCGATGCTAAATGGCAAAACCCTACTCTCATTACTGATGCTTTATGATACTCTGAGTTCATGGCCTCGGCTGAAGATCGGGCGCAAATACGCATGGCGACACGTTGAGCGCGATCACGCGCGAGGACGGGAGCCGAGCGGGTGAGGGCAGGAGCCGCACGTGTAAGGGCGGGAGCTGCGGGTGTGAGGGAGGGAGCCGGGCGTGAAGGGCGGGAGCTGGGCGTGTGAGGGCGGGAGCTGGGCGTGTGAGGAAGCCGTGTGTATGAGGGCGGCAACCACGCGTTTAAGGGAGGGAGCCAGGAGCGTGAGGGCAGCGGCCGGCCGTGTGAGGGCGGAAGCCAGGTGTGTGAGGGTGAGAGCTGGGCGTGTGAGGGCGGCAGCCGCGCGCGCGAGGGCAGCAGCCACGCGGGTGAGGGCGGGAGCCGGCCGTGTGAGGGCGGAAACCGCGCGTCCAGTCGGGCCACGTACCGCGGCCGCCGGCGGCGGGCGACCGCTCCGCCCAGTACCGGGCGCGCAGCCGGCGGGCCTGCCTAGCCAGCTGCAGCCCCAGGCCATCCAGCCGGTTCAGCGTCGCCATGCAGTGCCGACAGACGCCGTCGCTGCCCGGCTGGCCAGGCTCCAGGGTCTGTGGGGCAGGGGCCCTGATGATGATGATGAATCATCTAAGGCCACTCAGTTGGAGTAGTAATAGTCAATGGGTGACACCATGAAAAAGCTGGACAGGAGAATGTGGCCTGAAACATCACCATTATGGGGTTAAAAAATATGCCAAATGCTCAAACCAAGTTGATTTATCTAACCATCAAGTTACAGCATTTGCTAAATAGCAATTTGAGTTACATTAATTGCATTACTAATCCTGCAAGAACAAATCACTTCTATGCTCAGATATTTCCTGCATCAGCAAATATGGGCTAAATATGACATGGGTAGTTACAACTATATATCAAATCTGAAACATTCAAGATGCATTGTTACTTACCACAGCCAGGACTTTGGCCAGCTTCTCACTGAAGGAACATAAACTGAATTGGGTTCTCTCCCAGAAGAGATTTGTACTGTCTTGGGATGACAACTGATTATGGCATGCAAGGCAGCTGTTTGACTTGTCACTGCTGAAAAAATAAAGAACCATTAAGGAGGGATCACAAATCACTGGCACACTGAGTGTACTTTTGAAATTATCAGACCCTAGTCCCTGAATGTAAAGCAGAAGTGCACAGCAGCTGTAAAGCACATCTTTATAAGACAGGCCATACTTTGCATATAGATATGACAATTTGGTTGAATACAAGCTCACCAGATTCCACACATATACAAGTTAAAACAGTTGTTGTATTGGTGTAACCCAGACTTACATTTGCCTTGTAGATCTATGGCATGAATCAGCATTGTCAGATTTCTGCACAGGAGCTCTTCTCTTGTGTGCTTCCACAAAGTTTTCTTGTGTTTGCTTTAGTTGGTACTCTGCAAGGTCATAGGAATTGACCTGATGCAAGCAAGATAAGCATATAATCTTTCCAGTATCCTCTGGAGATAACTCAAAGCCTAGTATAGAAGACAACTTGAGTGGAAGGCTTGTCTGGGTGTACTGAGATATGGACTTGCCATTGCATATGTTCACAAAACTTCCAGGAACAACCTCTACAGCAAAGCAGAGAAAGCAGGAAGATGCTGCATCCATTGTTGGGTGGAATGCAACCCTTATTTTTTTAATGACTGCTTCAAGCTTCCTGTTGGCATAAAAACAGTCAAGGTTGCAGCACAAGATGTGTAATGATTCCTGATGCACTGACACCTGGGCCCAGCTTATGTAATGGCAAACCACAGTGTCATGTGGTGATCATGCAAGTTGTTTCTACTTTTAACAAACTTGAGGGTTAACTTAAAATGACCTTAACCTAAAATTATATTGTTTTGTCATGTTATGTGCAGGAAGACTGAAGCTTAAGGCCATCTTTACTCTTGTAAGATGATGCTTCCCACACCTCTTGGAAACAACAAAGTAGCACAACCATGTCCAGTGTATGTTGTTGAACCATTTCAGGCTTTTCTCTACATCTTTACACACAGAACATTTGTATTCATTTAGTTTGCATGGTCTCATTACCAGATTCAGAGCCAGGCATGGCCACTCCCAGCAAGCCTGTCCATGGAAAGTTCAAAGAAAAGTGTAACCAAAAATGCATGGACAGCCTCGTGAAACAAGTGGAAACGAAAAATAGACATGAATGGCATGTCAGAATCTGAAGCGTGCCTAAATCCCAATGTTGGATCCGGGACCTGACGGGATTATTTCGTTATAAGATCAGGTGAGGTGAGTACATTCCTGGCCAAACCATCTCAAAAAGAAAAATTGTGAAGCGATGGATTCGCAGGCCCAGGCTGCTTCGGTAAATGGGTCCCCGGCAATGTTTGTTTTTACGTTTTACCATCTGAACCACTTGCATTGATATCATTCCATGGTTAAATATTCTCAGCTTCTTGGGCCCGAGAATCATGAGCCTTCCAAAATATCCGTCGTGCACGCCATGACCCAACGCAATATAAACAAAATCCCAATACTAAAACGGAGTTGAGAGCAGGGTCAGGTTATTCTCGGTAAGATTACCTTATCTTCGTACATCTCATAGGGGTGGATATGGGTAGAGTAGGGTCAGTAGAAGACCTCGGACAAGGTCATCGCAGTCATTTCGCTATTTCGTCACCCATTTTTATTTACAATCCTACTTTTTTAGCATATATTAGAAAATATGTATTTTAATTTCATTTCCACTTTGAATAGGATCTAATAAAACAAGTAGAACCCAGTTATCGGATTTGATTTGGATTACTCAGGCAATATTGCTCAGCTCTAGATTTTTCTTTATACATTACTAGCGCACAAGAGTCGATCCCAACCTTTGCCCTCTCCTCGCATCAGCCGCCTGTGGCGCGTTGTCCCGTGTTCTTGGACATTTATCGCAAGGGTGAATACTGAGTTGCCAAGGTCTAAGAGGTTTGATACCGACAGCAAGCTATTGAGGAGGAGTCATGAATGTTCCAAGGGTGAGTGTGAGACACGTAGACGCCTTAGAACTATTTCACTGCTGTGGAGTCGAATATGACGCAGATCAGTCTCCTTCATTGATGTACCTATTAATTGGCCAGGGCAAGCTGCGATGTGAAGCTCTACGCCACCTGTGGTCGCCTTGTAAAGCGTCCCCACTTTTTTAAATGTTTTTAAATGAAACTGAAGATCACCATCATTTTTGGTTTACTGTGATGACCTGACTACAGGTCTGAACATGTCTGATATAGCAGCAACAATTTCAGTGCAATTACCTCATGACCCATCCACTTAGGGTTGGATGTGCAGTCAGCGCCAATTCCAGCACAGAAAGCAAAGGTGTCAATGAATGTGATTTTGGGTGGGCCAGAATATCCCAAAACATTTTTCACAAGAGTACAGTTTGTTGCCTTGGCCTTGGCTCTGTGAATGTAAGAATAGGGTTTAGGTAACCACTTTTGTGGTTCAGTGCATTCATGGATGGATGTCCTGTGCAGTGGATATATTTTTTAGGCTGGTATGCTATGGCACATCCTAGGCTATGTGATACATTGAAGTAGCTTATGGTAAATGACCAGGGAATGCTTATTATTGTCAGGCTGGAAGGCCAGGGTTAAACTGGCATCAGAAAGCTGGGTTTGGAGGGGTCTATGTAGTCTTAGGGAATGTTCATTTATCGGGTTGGTTTCTTCTCTAGCGTATGATTTTATGCCATTATCATCAATATCATCTTTAACAATCTGTGGCTGAACCAGGCAGAATTTTGGCACAATATTGGATGTCACTTGGATTCCTTGTTGCACATCTTCCATGGCTGTCTGAGCTGTTTGATGGTAGTGTTATATGTGTTGCATATTCTTGTTCTATTACCAAGGCTTATTTTATATTTTTACTATTATTCATGCATTCCTCTGTTTTATTCATGAGTGTATTCTCAAGTTTTTTCTTAAGCATACAACCATCACTAACACACTGATAAAAATGTATACTAAATATGCCAATTCACCTTTTTGTCAATCACATTTGCTTACATACATTTAGCAGTGATTTGCATTCTGGGACAATGTTTAGTTTATTTTGTAATGGTAATATGGAATGTGTGTGTGCACCTAGTGGCATCTTGGGTGGGTTGGACATGAATATTATTGTTTTATTTTTGTTAACATATATAGATATATATATATATGCATATACATATTAGGTTTGTGTAGCATGACATATTACAAAAAACATGACCAATTGTTATGTGACTGCTTAGGAAATGTCCATGCTTCTAATATACCCATGCAACTATGCTTCAGCTGTTTCACAGCCATCCATACCTATATTGTGATTTTTGTGGATGAATCAGATGGGAGTGTTAGGTTTGTATTGTATCCAAATGTTGTGAGCCATAAACATAATGCAAAACATTTGAAATAAAAGAAGATAGTAGATACCATAAGACTCCTTTGTGGAAACTGTTTTAAAGGTATATTCCCAAACCTTTGATTGGGTAAATTTCTTGAGTCAGCACCTAAACTAGGCAGAGCTTGTCGAGTGAGCTCTGACTCCACCACCTGGTTGTGAAAGTCTGGGTCAACAGTAAAACTTGGTCTGAAGGTTTAACATGTCTCAACTGTTGGCAGTCTGTTTTCCCTTTGGATGTCACCTGACAACTGAATGTGATCATTGTCACTGGCTACCAGCTGTTTCAGTCACAAGCAAATAGAGAGTGCTCTGAGTGAATCATACCCATTGCACTAGAGATAATGGAAATAAAGACTGAGGCTTTCTAACTAGCTGAGTTATTAGGACAGACTGACATGAATAAATATGATAAAAGGGTGGACATAAATGTGATCAGAAAAAACAACATTATCATATCACCACTCAACTTTGCTGGTACAAGGCATTTGTTGGCCATTGATCCAGAATTGTGTGTGTGTGCATTGGGTATTGGGTATTACAGATCTGGCCATATATACATATTTTTGCCAGGTATTTGTCATGTCTTGGCTGTCATGTGATAGCTGATTTATCAGTGCCTTGGAGTTGGTATTGTTGCATTCTGCATTTTATATTTTGTTTAAAAAGACGTTGTTTCCCATACCCTGCTTCCCTTTACAGAGTGCTAGTGACTGCAATGGTCATTTCAACAGTCATAGGATGAAGCATTACCTGGGAATCTCTCCCAGGTGTGTCGCATGGAAGCTGAGTGCCCTCCTAACTGACCTATTTTCCACTCCCATTCCCTTTCGTGAGGGTTTGGCTAGCTGGCTGGCCACATCAAGTGGCTTGTCAAGTGGCTTGCCAGCATTTTGTATCCTCCATGAGTGCCTTGCTCCCCTCCACCTCCCCCCACGTTCGGTCCTAACTGACCTCCCGGGGTTCTGGGTAGTGTAGTGGTTAACGCGTCTTTGTTACCACTGTGCATCTGGGAAACCGAAGGTACAGAGTTCGATTCCCCGCGGTGCCTGTCCTTCCCGCTAGGGTGAGAGGTAGGCGACGCCACGTAGCTTCAGCAGCAGGGTGCGTCGTAGAGCCCCAGTGACACACACACACACACACAGCTGACTCCTGCGCCGCTGTCTCGGCAGATCGCCTTCCAGACCGCGCGCCGCCTGACCACCTCCACGACGGTGCGGGCCGCCAAGGGTGAGGTGCACCCGGGCTACGCCAAGCTGCGCCAGCAGTACGCCAAGTTCCAGATCCAGGACGGCGTGCCCGTACACCTGAAGGGCGGCCCGGCCGACCGGATCCTGGCCTCGCTGACGTACGCGCTGTGCGCCGGCGCGCTCGTCACCGTCTGCTACACGCTCTTCTACAAGATGGCCTAACCCGCAGAAGAAGTGAGGGGTGGAAGCGGGGAGTGTGGCTGGGTGAGGTGCGAGCGCACGTGATATCGATGCATGTGTACACGGCGATGAGAGCTGGGCTGAAATACAGAACCAAGTAGGTGTAAGTGTTGCGTGGTGGTTTCGTAACGAAGGCTGAGGCTGACGTTTTTCCGTCGTCTGTTCCTGGCCAGCACAATACACAGAGTGCACGGTTTTACGTATGTCACATTCGCGTTGTTTCAGAAATGTTTTCAAATCCCCCATTGACCTTGCCATGACCAGGCTGCTGTCATGACCGGTCTGTCACCCACACCGACCTCGAAAATCCGATCGCCAGAACGTCTCAGAATGGACATCGTTTACCGAGGATCTCGCTCCTAATAGGGAAATACGCACGCGGCTATGGCGTGGCCGAGGTGGAGAAGGCGGGCGCACCAGTGGTTATAGATGCCAAATACACAAACGACAGTTGCGCTGGACAATTGTTCGGTTTTGGTTTGGGACACAATAACCGGTCACAAAGCTAGCCATTCCTGCTTGAGCATTGGAGCAATGGTGCCAAAGATGGTTTCAAAATGGAAAATGCTTTCAAAAGTTTTTATTTCGCTTCGCTTCGCTAACGCTTCTTCACCGAAATGCACATGATGTAGCGCGGAACGTCCTGATAGCGTAAATGGTGCCAGTGTGGACGGACTCGGTACGCATCACGAGAGGACCATCTTTATTTGGCGACGGCTTGCGCACTACAAAATACTGTACAGGGGAGTCCCACGGACTGACCCTCACAAAGACGTCAAGTACCAGGGCTGTTGTGAAAGTTTCGACTTGTAGTAAAATGCTGTACAGTACGCCCCGATTTATTTTGCTGAGCGTTACAGGGCACTGACTAGATGGGACAAAACCTCGTCCCGTTCCACGCTCATCAAGCTGACAACATGGGCGTTCACTTTCGCCCCCCCCCCCCCCCCCCCCCATAACCAAGTTGTGTTAGTCGGTTATCACAAGCCCTAGTGGGTGGAAAAGCTTTCTTGACCATGCAGTCTGTCACAAATAAAAAAGCCGCCCTTCGCGGTTTGGCAATGCTCGAAAGCGATTCCAGCGGCTCGAGGGATTAATGAGAGGTACGCACCCGTGCATTGTGACACCCAAACATGCATTGTTGAATTTTACCCCATTCATTAAGGCAAAGTGGAAAGCATTAGTTGGTGCAATGGGGTTATTTAGCGCAACACACCCGGCGGTAAATACGAGTCCTCTTCACCGTCCTCTTGCTCGGCTCTGGAGTCGCCTTGAACACGTGTCTCTCCTCCGAAACGGTCATCATCATCATCGGGAAATGCGAAGCGTTTTTCAGTGGTGTCGAGACCTTCTTCCTTTGACTCATCGTCAATATTTTCCTTGGTCGTCGTCGAATGATCCCTGGAAGCAGCAGGAGGTTCGGCCGCCTTATCTTCATAGACGTCGCCTTCGTCTGACGCCCACTGCACATTTTCTCGATTCTTATTGTAAAGAATAAAGATGGCGGGTCGCGTCCGCAGCCGAAGCGGAGGAAAGACGGCATAGTTGAACTGGATGTGAGAGAACACGTCCACTGAACCCAGAATCATGTGCGTGTCTAGGTAGGGCTTCAGGCTGGTGGACCGCTTGCTCTTGGCCTCGATCAGAAGATGTGTGAAAGAGTGCATTTCCGGAGAACCAGGCGTCAAGTTCTCCGTTTTGTTGTACCTGAAAGCGAATGCCGACTGCAATCAGTGCTTTCCTCTCCACGCTAGCCAGTTCAACGTGACTTCGGGCACGCAGGGAATCGAAAATACCAACAACGTGCACATTGGGCAGGCTTGTGCTACATCAGGGCGTCATTACACTTATCCACCACCTCATGTCAATACACCACTTCATTAATCCATCATATCACTCCGCCACTCCACGTCGATCGAACACTCCAGTCGAGGGAGTAATGTGCAATGACCAGCTATGCGTACCAACACAAACTCAGATTTAGCACAGATGCTGACAAAGCTGCTCATCAAATTCTAACCAGCTGACTTCTGAGGATGCATCAGGTCTCGCTGCAACACAATTGCAACTCTAAGCTCAACTGACAACCGACATTCGTCCAACTACCTGTTTGCAGTAATGCACTTCCACTTCCGCACCCATCGCTCAACTGACCTCCAGTCGTGACGGTGCTGCAGGAAGCGCGTGACGCCCGTCTGCGCCGCATACACGTCCAGATGTACGCAAGCCGGCTCCGGCTCTAGATAGTGCAGGCGAGCCAAAGCCGCGCCGCCTGGGTAGTTGTGCCGCGCCACGGCCGCCAGCAGAACTGTTAGCGCACAGTTGACCAACAGGTGGCAACACATGGCCGTGGCCAGGTATGCTCTCCATGTGGATTTGAGCCGTCCCTCCCAGCTGCGGAGTGAAAAAGTGACGTCAGACAGGCAATACAATGACAGTATTACTTCACAATAAAATTTCAACAATTCCACACTCTTTGGCACTGCAATACGTCAATGTGGTTGAAGAATGAAGGGCTGTGGGGGTGGATCAAGGCTGATAGTCTCAAACAATGTCCAACCATTGTTCAGCAGATCCACTCGGCAGATATGTCCCTTCAAATTCATCAACACCACTGGCTACATCATAAGCCATACAAGGGAGATATGACCGGGCACGCCAAAGCTAGCCGATTTTTCTTTCTCTTTGGAGACTTCGTCGTAAATAGGAAACATCACAACCCATCAACCCTACCAACGCCGCGTCCTCAATCTCCTCGACCCCCACTGGCCGTCACTCATCCCCTCGGCCCCCGGGCCCACACTTACATGCCGTGGCAGGCGCGTGCCGCCGCCACATTGAGGAGCGGCACCACGTAGATGATGAAGCGCAGCTCCTTGTGAGGCAGCAGCGAGTAGAGCGCCACGAAGGCGAGCGCCGGCGCGGCCAGCGGCCGGCAGCGGGCGTCGGCCAGCAGGCCGACCGGCACCAGCGGCAAGCTGGCGGCCAGCGCCCGCGGCAGAGCCGAGTACCAGTACCAGAGCGCCGGCGACATCTGGCAGCGCTGGTCAAGGAGGCAAACGACAGCGAGACACCGGCGCCGGGCGGCGCGGGGGAGGGGAGCGGCCGCCCGCGCCGGCGAAGCAGTTACGCGAGGCGGGGACAAGGCTGCGCAGTGCTGTCATGTTACGGAGCTGCGCAGTGGTGTTGTGTTACGGAGCTGCGCAGTGCTCTCGTGTTACGGAGCTGCGCGGTGCTAAAGTGTTACGGAGCTGCTCAATGTGGTGCTATGAATTTGTAAAGTGGTGTGTTATGGAGCTGCGCAGTGATGTGCCACGGAGCTGCGCAGTGCTCTCGTGTTACGGAGCTGCGCGGTGCTATAGTGTTATGGAGCTGCTCAATGATGTCCCATGGATTTGTAAAGTGATGTGTTACGGAGCTGCGCAGTGATGTGTTACGGAGCTGCGCAGTGATGTGTTACGGAGCTGCGTAGTGCTGTCGTGTTACGGAGTCGCGCAGTGATGCCATGCCAGGCACGATGGTCGTTGTTCTAGATGTGTCAAACAGTAAGTTTTACGACGGTGTCGAACGAGGCATCGCTGCAGGAAAGCAATTCTCCGAACGCAATTTCCAATTACCAAATAGCACGCAAGTCGTGCAAACCAAATTCAATGGGGTCTGATTGTTATGGGTAATTCAGGGTTAATTTCAGTACCAATTATTTGCGCGGCAGATTGTCCGGTCCACCACCAGCCGGCCTTCAGAGCCACGCTGAAAAGGATACGCCCCACTCTGCCGACT